GGGGATCAAACCGGTGCTGCGGAGGCTTCGGGTGGCTTTGCAGCCCAGCGCTCAACTGCTGCGCCACCAGGGAGGCCCCAGGGTGAGGTTTTTTTTTTTTTTTTTTTTTTTTTTTTTTTTTTTTTAAAAGATTTATTTTTATTTATTTATACAAGCACTGGGTACAGTCAGAAGCGCGGGAGGGCGAGAGAACTCACCAGAGCCAGAGCGGGGAGCAGAAAAGGCAGACTGACGAAGCACACTGCTGAGGGGAGCAGCGGGCGGCAGGAGAGGTCTGCGTGCCATGTGGGACCCTCCTCCGGTGGCCGGGAACAGCGGGGATTGAACCGGCACTGCAGAGGCTGCGGGCAGCCTCGCAACCCAGCTCTCAACTGCTGCGCCACCAGGGAGGCCCCAGGGTGAGGTTTTTAATGGATGAATGAGGGTGGGAACCACCACCCAGAGGCAGATAGGAGAGAGAGATGTTTTGCTTGGTCTTGGCTCTGGGTAGAATAGGAAAAAAAAGGGAAAATTTCCTCTAGACCTCGTAACATCAAACCTATACTCAGGCAGGTCTGGGTTCAGAATTCACATTACTTGTATGGCCAAAACATTTCATACCAGAAATTAAGCCTAAAGAGTAGTTTTCAATTGGTAGTATTCTCAGGTGACTAGCAGGAGTAAGCTCAACTCTCCTCTGGAATGATCCACTTTATTTATTTATTTATTTTTAAAAGATTTATTTATATAAGAACTGGGGTACAGGCCAGATGTGCAAGAGGGTGAGAGGATTCACCAGAGCCAGACTGGGGAACAGAACAGGCAAACTAACGAAATACACTAGTGAGGGGAGCAGTGGGCAAGACAGGAGGGACTCTCGGCGGCTGGCAGGGATCGAACCGGCGCTGCAGAGGCTGTGGACAGCTTCACAGCATGGCATTCAACCGCCTGCACCACCAGGGGAGGCCCTGGAATGATTCACTTTAAACCCAGGTCTCAAAAATCTCCAAGTTCCAAAGAACATGTACTCACAAATAAATGTCATAATACACACAAGAGAAAATGTGGAAGCAGGTTAAGACAAATGGAGGATATAATGAGAAGGACGAATAAGCATCTAAGGGAAGTTCTAGAGGGAAATATTAGAGAAGAGAGAGAATATCTAATAACGAATAGCTGAGAATTTCCCAGAATTCAGGCCACTTAGATAGCTTCTGCATTCTGTCTACTAAGCTTATTAGACTAATGTTAACACTTCTTTTGCCCATGAGAGTCCTGGATTGACTACAATCAGGATACTCAGTCATGATGTCATCCTCAAAAGGACAATGACTGTAGTTAAATAAGCCTCAGTAATAGAATTAGGGTTTGTTTGTTTTCCAGAATGCTAGAGTTGAGATTAAGCATGGTCAATGCAGACCTTTCCTTCAGAGTCTGAAATGATATCCAGTAAATGAGCTCTGTTAATCCAACTCCTAGCTTGTCCATTCTGCAGACTTCAAATGAAAAAACAGAGATACAAGCATACTTTTGGTGTGGAATACTGGAAAATGCATGCACTGAGGGCCAGGCTAACCTAAGTACAAATTTTGACCCTGTCATTGTATGGGAGAAAGTTTGAGAATTTAATGTTTGACATAACATGTAGCATGTTAACCAGATCATTGATAAAGAATAAATGATTACACCCTTTTCATTCCCCATCATCCCTCTTCTTTGGTCATGATTTTCAGACTTTTGCCCAAGACTGAGGCCAAATCCATGATCAGTTTTCAAATAATTTGTGTGCTCTTGAGAAAATGATCTTTTTGGGTATAAACTGTCAGAAAATTTGAAAGACTAAAATTTGTCTACTATTTCTCAACTTTGAGATGTATAAGGGCCAGCCAGATCTAAGGATTAAACAGATAGTAATGAACCAGAACAGCCAGTCGATGTGACTCAAGTGGGTGTGGTAGTAAAGGTGGACAGGATGGCTGAAGCAGACAAAAAGATCTGGCATGGCAAGCTAGATATTTAGTCTATAGCTTAGCACGAGTCAGGGAACATAATAAGCATAGAAAGAATAGGGTCAAGGCAGGTTGGAGAAGCTTGATATCCATATGTTTAGGCTTCAAAAATCAGGAACACAGGCAAAATGCATAATTAAATAGCTAGGGGTTAGTATTCAGGGTCTGGGTGATGATTATTGGAAGCCCAATCTCCAGACGATGTGGGTCACATTTTTGAGATTCCAAGTGTCGAATATTGGAACTACAGATCAGCGCTCAAATCAAAATCTTAGATGACAGGGATAAAAAGCTCAATTCAGAAGAAGTAGGCCATACCACTGTTAACCTATTATATAATGCAATGCCTGACACAGAGTAAGGCATTATTAAACATCTGTTAAACAAATGAATGATCAAACAACTACAGTGAAACAAAATAAATGATACTGGAAGGTCAGCAGTAAGACTAACATTGAAACTAAGCCCGAGTTTTGAAGGTAAATGCATTCAGCCAATGGTAAAAGGCCACAGAAACAGGACCAAACAGCTCCTAACATTGCATAGCAGCAGCATTTGCAAATGGAGTTGAAGTTTGGGTGTCATGTACATGTGAGTATATGTGAAGCAAGACACATTTTTCATATTTTAAATTCATGTTAGGTTATTTTTTCCAAATTCATTGTTTTTTTCTCCTGTTACATTACACTTTAACATTCCCTCAAATGTCACATTTATTTCTGAGTGCATGCAAGGATCTCAGAAAGCAAGGAGTGCTTGTTGATATATTACATTGGTTTTGCCATGACCTACCCGGATCTATGGTTCTTAACTGGCAGAGGGAGCATAGGGGACGTTTGAGTTCACAGTTCTGAAACTCAGACATCTCTGTAAAGTGCAGCTGGGTTCTCTGCTAAGGTGTCCCAAGGCAGAAATCGAGGTGTCCGCCAAGCGACCTTGTCATAGGTAGCTTGGTGTCCTCGTCCCAGCTCACTCAGATTGTTGGAAGAATTCTGTCCCCCACAGTGATCTTGGCTCTGGGTAGAAGAGGAAAAAAAGAGAAAATTTCCTCTAGACCTCATAACTTCAAACCTATACTCAGGCAGGTCTGGGTTCAGAATTCACATTACTTGTATGGCCAAAACATTTCATACCAGAAATTTAGCCTAAAAAAGTAGTTTTGAATTGGTAGTATTAGCAGGAGTAAGCTCAACTCTCCTCTGGAATAATTCACTTTAAACCCAGGTCTCAAAACTCTCCAAGTTCCAAAGAACATGTGCTCACAAACAAATGTCACAATACACACAAGAGAAAATGTGAAAGCAGGGACCACTCTCAGCTCCTGGAGGTCACATTCCACATTCATGACCCCCACAGGTTGGTCACAGCATAGATGTTTGCTTTCTCCCAGGCGAGCCAGAGGACTTTCTCAGACGTCCTCTTCCCCACCAGATGACGGAGAAAACTGCTTTGAAAGGGCTCATGTGATTAGGTCAGATCTACTGGCATAATCTCCTTATCTTAAAGTCAACTGATTTGGGACTTTAATTATATCTGGACAATCCTTCACAGCAGAACCTAGATTAGTGTTTAATTGAATAGGAAATCTTGAGGTCTATTGTAAAAGTCTGCCTACCACAACCTCCAATGTTGAGAGGTACCCATTTAAACAAAGACTATCATAAAGAATTTTTAAAAAGGAATAACAACCAATGGCCTTAATTTTTTGTTGTAGTATTTCAGATACTTCACTAGTTCACAAGGCTCATTTGCTACAAACCAGTAAAACAAGAACAAACAGATTAGTTTGGGGCAAGCTACTTAACCTTTCAATGTCTCATTTTTACACTTGTAAAGTGAAAGTGATGAGCACTTAAGAGTTCATGCTCTGGATTCAGATTGATTTGGGCTCAGCCTGACCACTAAATGCTAGCTGTGAAACTTTGGACAACATACTTAACTCTTTGAAAAACCTCAGTTTCTCTACTTACAAAATGGGAATAATAGTTAACAATCTTTATATAGCATATGGATTAAGTTTACTAATACATGCAAAGTACTTGAAACAGGGCCTAGCATCAATTTAATGATAGTAATTATTACTTTATTAGCATTGAATGATGTGAGATGTAAAACTATCTTAGAAGGTTTAGTTATTATAATGTAATGTATTGTCAATTGGTACACATAGAGAGTGTAACATTTTACAGGCGCCCTACACTTAAGGTGAATATATTTAGTATGTACACATATTATCACATACTTATTGAATATACCACCTTAATAATGCAGATGAAATTCCCATTTATTTTTGTCTTTTAACACATTCAGTGTAAATATAGCAGTATAAATCCCCAAGATAAAATATATAAACAAGACATTAATCTTTAGACAGAATAAAGGTTTTGTATGGATTTAGTAGCCAGAATTATAACTAGTGAATGAAAATTAAAGAAATGCATACTTGGGCTAAATATATCAGAGAAGTTAACATTTATAAAAAAAAAAACAGGCTAAGTAAATAGTAAGCTCATGTCACTGAGTGACCACTTATCAGTGAAGTTTGTAAAAGAAACTCATATACCAGATATGAGGCTTGGACTGGTGACCTTTAAAGTCCCTTCAAATGTAAAAGTTCATGAAATTCTAGTTGTCGTTGATGAGTATGTATAAGTGTACATGTACTTTAGCTCGATGATATTAGGTTAAATTTCAGCAATTAAAAAATGTACATAAATGCCATGGGAGTAAAACAGAAGATCTCCAACTTTTGGCCTGATTTTTTGAAGCATGAAGTTCATATGTTTTAGTTTCTTTCTTTAGATCCAGCTCTATCTGCTACTTGTTGTTTTGAAAAACAAAATAATGCTTAAAGCATATTATTAGAAGTAAACCTCTAATATTTTATTGTGCTTCTAGAAGCTCCACATCAGTCTATCATTTCACAGATGCTTTAGAAATTACCATTACCAATCTCTTTGTGTATCAGCCTGCTGTGCAATAGGTATGATTTTTTATTGGTAGACCAATTACCTTCCAATATTTGCTTTGTGGTTGTTTTTCCAGATTCAGCTTCTTAGTGACACAGCTGTTAAGTGTGATATCTGCAATAGGCCAGGACACATAGTCATATACTATATTAGGAATGAATCTCAGGTCTTAAATTTGTATGTAATTCTATCTTGTATATCATCAGTTTGTATACTTTCTTCTAATAGTTTCCCCTTGTTTACAAAGTCATATATATTCACTATAAAAAATCCAATCATTCTCTAAGGTACAAATAAGATACAAATATCTTATTATTTTAATCAGCAACCAAAGAAAATCACCAGCAATCATATGTGAGCATTCTTCTAGAATTCTCTGTCTTAGATACACATACAGATACTAGGTAAACGATTTTACATAGATGGAATTACTCCACATGCTGTATTTGATAACATCTGTTTTCATTTAACACATCAGGAGCTCTTGTCATAAGTACTGAATATAAAGAATTATTCCTTAATAACTTGTGGTTAGCACATTATTCCTGTGTACTAGTAAGCTTTTCCTGGAAAAACCTTCCACTGGATACTCCATGTTATTGGAACACAATCACAGAAGTCTTTCCCCAGTTGGCACATAGCAGGGAATCAGCTGACCCAAACCTGACAAATACGAGTTCTCCATGCCTTTAGCTAAAGGGAATTCCAAGAGACCAATCAATCTCATGCCTGAGGTTTAATATATGAACATTAGGAAAGAGAAGATCTCACTTCCTTTAGGATTGAGAATTATTAAGATATTATAAATTGAAGTTGCTTATAGCTACCTTGGCCAACTACAAGAAGGAAGATGTCTGAGATAAGAAAATTGGAGCCAAAGCACAAAAAGAAGCAGGGACAAGCAAAAATGAGAGATGGAAAGAAAAAGTATTGATATATCTTGGACCCTAGTTCCAAGCATGCCTAAAGCATCCAGACTACAGTCAGCGCTATAATACCATATGCTCTCCTAGAAATCACTGCACTGCAAAGTTCAATAAAAACCACAGGGCTTTTGCAGAAAATGGAGCTAGGAAAACAACATTAAACATTTTTTCAGTGACACATATGCTAAATGATAGAACCTAATGAAAATGGTAGCAACGTTTTACACATAACTGCTTAAGAACTACATAAATACTATAATAAATAAGGTACTTTATTATGAAAAGAGCCTAAAGTTTGCCTGTAGAAATGGGTATCAGAGGGGATGCAGTTTGTGAGTTATTATGAAGCAGTTAGGAGGAGGGTTATCTGAAATAAGATGGAAAGTTTTAACACTAGGTGTGGATGGATGTGACTAAAACACATATAATGAACTGAGATAGATGTCTGAGGTACATATTTGTATGTGTGAGCATGTGTGTGTGTGTGTGTGTGTGTGTGTTTTGTGTATTCCCATGTGACTTGATTCAGTTGAGTATAGTTTTCTGCTTTTAACTAGTGTTTATGGCTGACAAAATAGCACATGAGCAAATACAAAAATTCTCAAATTTTTCTTTAATATATTAATGACAATGGAACAGACAAGCATTGTCGAAGTCTATATTTGATTATTCAAGCGAATAAATTTTTTTTTGTTTGCCAGTTAGCTTTCTTCTAGAGTCCAGTACTGTAATACACAGTTACATAATACTCCATTACACAATAGTAACACCTTCTAAATCCTGGCTCTGCTGTGTCTCAACACAATTCTAGACTGTATTTCTCTACTTTCAATTCTTGTGTGCTCTGCAATTGAAAATTCATTTTATAACAACATAAACCAGCATTAAAATACAAAAATTGCAAGGCCAAAAAGAAAAAAAAACTTTTTTGGATATTTATGATACTATCTTAATCTGTAACAAAACCTTGTAAATAGATATTTGAAGGTTGATCATTGTAGAATTTTATCTTGGACATGATACATTTTGGCCAGTTTCAGAATGATTTTTTTCCATGAATTCCGATACTTTAAAATCCATAAAAACTCCCACAGAGATTGCAACATCAAATTTATGTCAATATTTTATCTCAAATATCCTAACCCTGAGTAATTACTTTAGCTCTTGTTGGTAAAAAAGCTTACTTACATGTATCACAGTGTTGACACTAATGTTCCAGTGATAACCTTGGGGGGTGCCAGAAATACTACCGGTTTGTACTATTCTTCCTAAGAGGAGAGCAAGCGTCTTACAAATTGTTCCATATACTGGCTGCGACTTCTAACCTTTGAAACTCCCAAGTAGTGTTTGTGCTATGCAGATAAGGAGGCATACACTGTTTTCCTAAACCCACCTCAGCCTTAGACGGATGTAGTTTTTATAGCCACTGGGAATGACAGATGAGAAAAAGTTTTATCCTCATTTTTATCTATATGATGTTGCAGCACTCCACAATTCCACTGTGAAATAAATGCAAATAACTATTTGAGTTCTGGTGTACCCTAGAAAATAGCATCCTCTGTAAAAAGCAAATAGTTTAGGCTTGGCAGCCATGCAGCCTCTGTCCGAAGTACTGAAAGCAGACATATACAATACCTAAACAAATAGGCCTGGCTGTGTTCCAATAAAATTTCATCTACAAAAATGGATGGATCTGTCCAGTGTATCATAACATGCTAACTCCTACTTTGGGGCTTCAACGTTTTTTTTTTTTTTTTTTCCCTTTTTTTTTTTTTTTTTTTTTTTTTTTTGAGCCTTGGGGCAATCTCTGACAACTCAAGTAAAGTCATGCAAGCAGGCACCTGAATTATCTCTGCTTCAACAAGTAGTTTTACTTTCATGATATATAGAATTTTGAATGAAATCAGGTTTGATACAAGGGTTCCATTCCAAATAAAGAGGAAATCTTCAAAATCCACTGCCTTAAACTAAACCTTAACCTTTACAACTAAAGAACAGATGTTTCGGGCAAAACAAAGATCTTTGACATCTTCAAAAATGATGATAGGGAGTACATGTGCTCCCAGAAAGTCACTTATTTTACAATTGACAAGTGTTTAGACAACTTTAATAACTCTAAAAATGTTATCAGTTTATCATTCTTATTCTATTTTGACTTTTTCTAAGTATAATGTTTAAGGTACCTTAAATGGTCCAAGAGAGGTGGTATGGTCCAGTGAAAAAAGAAAGCACCAAATTAGGACTCGATATCTGTCCCCATTGCTAGATTGTGAGCTCCTGAAAGACAGGAAGTAAGTTATCTTCGTCATCTTTGAACTGTCCTCTGCATCTAGAACAGAACATGACAATAAGCTTTAACTTTTAAGGCAAACATAAACTCACTATTATATAAGTCAGAAGAGAATAAATTCAGGTAGCTTCTTTACTTATATCTTTCCATAATACACAAGGGAAAAAGCATTGTTTCCTAGTGAGCAACAAAATAAAAAGTCCTTTTGAGATACATTTATTATACTTAGGAAATTAACATGTTTAAAACACACAAGACCTAGTAATAACTAGATTGTGACAAGATTCATACACTCATAGGTATCCATAATCCCTCATCTGCTATTCTAAAATCCAGAAAGCTCCAAAAACCAAAAATTTTGGTTGTTTTTATTTTTAGTAACTTACTTGACAGTCAATTGATCTAACCCAATTTGGCAGTAGTATCTGACCTGAACTGAAAGAGGATATTTACTGGTATTTATTTACTCTGTATGAATAATCATACAGTTTGCTGCAAAAATATTACCATACATGATTATTCCATTTTCCCTGAACTCCCCGTTCTGTTACAGAACATACAGTATAGGGCATTTGGCTTTACACAACTCCACCAAACTGTGCCAGATTTCTGGTTGTTCTACAAGGAGGCCTCCATTGTCCTGATCTGGCCTCTTCAGTCTTTTCTGTTGCCATCTTGAGCAGTAGTTGAGGCCACACAAACAGTTTAGGGAAACTGCCTATCATATCAATGGGGAAAAATGTGCTTCAAGATCATATAGGAAGTCAATGTTATCATTCTGATGGTCAATGATCCCATTGTTTGAGAAAGAGCTTGGGCTTTTAAAAAGCACTTTTCTATTTTTATCATTGGACAATAGGCAGCCCAGGGTCAGCATCACATTACTAGCTCTTAGCCTTGCAAAAAGTATCCGCTCAATATATATTTACCATTTGACTTATATTTTGCCCAGTATGTAAGAACTTTTCTCACATTAAGTGTGGGCAGCGGCAGATATTCGAGAGGAAAAAGTAACCACCGGAGCCCTTGTACTGGCTCTGCTCCAGCAATAAATCCATCATTACTCCTGGGAACTGGAACACTCCCCACGAGTCTCTCTCATGGATCCCACCCTCTGGTTGACAGGATCGTATCTAGAGATCTCAATTAGACCTCGTAGCAAATAGGGCGGGTTATTTCTGTAACACCGAAGGTGGCGGACTTGCCTATGCCCTAGAGTGGGATATTCGCGGCTTAGATGAACTCAAACGACGTAAATGCAAACCACAATGCCACCCTTTCCCGACAGCAAGTCCTCATAAGAAAAGAGCAGACTCAAAAGCTTGGAAAATGCTTCTCTTGAGAAAGGCATAGTTAGTGGGCGAGATCCCCTGCGACACCCCACCTACGTCGGGCTCGTGCGCTCAGAGTCGGGAACCACGCTGCTCAGGCGCAGGTTCTAGACTCCTCCCTTCGCGAGGCGCATCCCCACCCTTCCCGGCTACTTCCGGCCCTCTCCGAACGCCTTTCAACGCGCTTGCGCCGTTTTGATAGGCTTCTTGGGCAGAAGAAATCGGAGCGCAGCCTCTCTGGAACCGCCCCGTCTCGTCTCCGCCCCGCCCCGCCCTGCCACCCCCTCCCGAAATCTCGCGAGGGTAGGTGAGCGGCCGTACTTTGCGGGCCACTAGCTCGCCCAACTGCTGTAATTGCCGCTGCGGGAGAATTCGGAGCTGCTGTCGTCGGCGCTCCCGCCTCCCCCACTGAGGAGGGCCACCGCCTCTCGCTCTCGGGGTACACCTATCGCCGGGAGCGACGGCAGCTACTGGCCCTGGACCCACCGCCGCCTGCTCAGACGGCCGCTCCGCCGTTCATTCCCGCAGCCCGGCAGCGGAGGGTGGCCCCTTGCCTCTAACCGGCTGCTCACTCCGGGTCGTCTGCTCCCTTCTCCTTCTCCTTCTCGCCGGACCCTTCTCCCACGGCCTCGCCGGGGTGGAGGACGAAGACGAGGAGACGAGAGTCACCCTCCCTCCAGGAGGCGCCGGCCCCTCACCCGCGGGTGTGTCCTATAAATGGCGTCGGAAAGCGACACCGAGGAATTCTTTGATGCCCCTGAAGATGTGCACCTAGGGGGCGGCTACCCTGGAGGGTAAGTCACTGGAGCTGCGGCCCAGAAGCGGGGGTCTCACACCCTCGACTTCCCTTTTGCCTTCCCCCTACACCTCTCCGGGATCCCGCTCTGTCCGCCTCCGCGGTTCCTCTAGTCTCACTCGGGCACTTCACAGTGAGTCGGGGGAGGGGGACTCGACCCCCACAGGCAGACCCTCAGTTCCCGGGTGCACGGCCCCGAGGGCTCTCAGGGAGCCCTTTGAACGTCTGGATCAGCTTTCTGCGAGGTGGGACAGCTTCCGTGCCCGAGAGCCGGCGGTTGGTAATTGTGGGGTCCAGAGCTTACCTTTGGAGCATCCGTTTTGGCCCTGGGGACCATAGATTGAAGGAGTAGTTACACAAGAAATTGGCATTTGCCATTTCGTTCTTTCTTTTGCCGCAAACTTACTCGTTTCAGAGGTAGCTATAACTTTACCCTTTTGCCGTCCTCTTTTCGTCGCTCAGAAAAGCTGCGCCAGGTGGGGGGTGGTTGGGGGAGTTGCAATGGTTGGGTAGTTACTTAGAAAGTCCTCCAGCTGATGCATTCTAAATCTATAGTGTTTTATTAAAATAGCACCTTGCCGTGCTGCAAAGGAAAGCGAAGACAAGGTCTTTACCGTTTGGGAGAAGGCGGTCTCAAAGGGTAGCCGGACATAAATGTTCACCGCCGACTACAGGGATACAAACAAGTGCTGAGTAATCTGGTGATTGGAAGGAGAGCCACAGCTTTGTGCTCTTTATCTAATTCGGCAAGATGTTTTAGTGGTGATTAATATGGGAGATTCTTAGTGGGAAGTAAAGTAGTTGGAATGCTTCACTTGACTGGGACTTCTACGTACCCACTTCTCTACTTTTCAAACTTGGAATAATGTTTAAAGTTATTTCGTCCAACTCTTCTACAGACTTGTGTGGAACTAGAGGCACTGAAGTATGTTTTCATGCTGTAAGAACCCGAGAATTGGTAGTTTGTATGTTAATGTAGGTCACTAATATGGTTCCAGGATTTCAATTGCCTTCAATTCTCAAACTTAGCCGGCGGAAGAAATAACTTACTTGCTGCAAATAAAGTTATCTGTACATTCTAGAAGTCGTTCTAACACCTTACATATGTAACGTATGCCAAAAAAGTTACAGCAAAAAAATCAGAAAGAAATCTATGTTGGAGCGCAGATGTGTTTCCACCAACTTTGATATCACTATTATGGAATGTGGGGGTGGCATTGGCCAGTCTTGAGATGGCACTGAATCTCCTGCAAGTTCAAGATCAGAAACAAGTTCATAGCTAGATAATAGAGAAAATACATTTGGGTTTCCAAATATATTAGATTAAATTAAATTTTATTTTTGTGGTTTTTTCCTCAAACTGTCGTGAACTCCCAATTCAGGTTAAATGAGAGATCAAATCTTTTAATATTTTGCATGCATATGTGTGTGGAGGATGAAAGGAAAGTAATAATCGATGTATATGATTGTAATCAATTTAGAAGTAGGTGAACATTGTTGCTTTTCAATGACTAAAACTAATTTTGAAAGACAGTTATATCAGCACTTGTGAGACGGCCTGATCTAGTACCTGGCACAATGAAAGAGCTCAAATGTTCATTTTCTTCTCCTTCCTTTAATGGAATTAGCAAATTTAACTTTCACAGTGCTTACTTTTGTTAGGAAGTATGCAGAACTTGGGGGCTGTTTAACTTCTCTAAACTAAATGAGTCATTTTGATAGGTTTGATGGTCACTTCTTCCCTCGTTGGATAATTATTCAACCACTTTAATCCTTTGTTATTAGGTGAAAAGTGAAAAATATCTCTTGGCACCCAGTGTTCTAATTTTAACTCTAACCTGCCCAGATATTGAGTGTGTTGAGCTCTATGAGTAAAACTACAGTGTCTGTCTAAATTTTATGGGCCCCAACCTGGATTAGTGAGGGAATTTGGAAGAGAATTCTATTCAAATGGAGAATTGCATCTGAAAAGAACTAGCGGTACTGGGTGGACTGAAGATTGGCATTAACGTTTCCTCTCCCTTGTGATAGGTATCTCATTTGCATAAGCTACTGGGAAGAGTTGACTGGGTAACTAACAACCTAGAAATAGTGTAAGAATTAATCTTGATTCATGAAAACATGTTGTCACTAGATATCTGGACATTAGAAATATCTTCTGTCCTTTGATGTGAACTTAAGGGGCCATGCTATATACAAGCTAGAAGAGTGTAACAGACTAACTTGGGAACTTAAAACAATGTTCTTTACTGTTGCATGTTCTAATATACGCTAAACTGTAGTAAACTGAGAAGACACAAGAGTTAGTCGTTAATCAACAGAATCCAAATACACATTTAATATCATAAAATGGGTCTATTTGTTAACAATGATGTCTTCACCTTTGTTATTCTATTTGAAAGCAAATTTAGTAAGTTAAAGATCAGCCCAGTTTTTTATAGACAGACTTAATTGCAGTGCAGCCTATTTTTCATAGTGGCAGATCATCTCCACTTTCCCCAGATTTTCAATATATGCCACATTAATAATGTTTTATTTTGGTAGATATATTTTAGGTCAGTTTTCCTTATTTTTTTCCTCGATTTTTACATATGAGGAACCTCAGGCTCAGAGAAGTTAATGAAATGCTCTATGAGAACAAGTAGTGACAGAGCTGGGATTTGAAACCAGTTTTTCAGACTCCTAATCCAATATTTTTTTTCTAGTACGTTTATAGCTATCCCACTGTGTTTGTGTGTGTATGTTTAGAGCGTAGCCTCCTGCAGGAGGTGGAGGACTAAAATGCTTTCGGACCAATTTGCTGAATTGAACTGCTGCATCTATTTAAAACCAGCAGTCCAAACTTTTTAGTTCTCTTGGCTAGAAATTCCCACTTTCCCTTTCAGGAATTTTATAAGATGATAGCATATTAAAGCTAGAATTTCTTCATACAAATATGAAAACCAAAGCCTGGTAAAGGAAAGTGACTTGTACAAGGTACTGTAGCAAATTAATGGCAGAGTTAGGACTATTAACCCAGATCAATTTCTCACACTAGCCTTCTTTCTGCTACTGTGCTGTCTTGATAAAGCAGGAAAGGGAGGAGGAAGTGTTGCGTAGTAGAAAAAAAGCCCTGAACTATGAGTCATTTCATTTCCTCATCTTTAGATTAAGATTACACTCTGAGAATCTTTGCATCTCTAAAATTCTGGCATTATACTGAGGATTAATAGAGTGCTTTTATTGATAAGCTTTTGTTCTTGGGACATCTTTCCAATGATTTTTCATTTTAACTTTTAGTATTATAAACTAGATGGTATTTGGTACAGGATTTAAGACCTATAGATTTGAAATTAATCATTTATTGGGTAAATTATATATGAGATGAATGTTCCTGCTAATTTGTATAGATTTTACATAAACATATTAAAAGCTAACACTAAGACCATGTTATAAAAATAAATGCAACATTTTGAATATTCCTTTCTAGAGGTAGCCAAAGTAGTTTTTGAAGCCATGGAAGGAAGAATAGAATGGTAACATTTTTAGAGTAGGAAGGGATCTGAGATCATTTAGTCCAGCCCCCCCCCCCAACCCCATTTAACTGAAAGAGAAACCTAGGGTCAGAGAGGAGAAATACCATGTTGCTGATTAGTGGCAGATTTGGAACTAGAACCCGCTTCTCTTGATTTCTTATTTATACCATGCTGCTTTGTCTGTAGAAGGAGGCAAAGTATTGCTGGGTATCCTGCTGTTAAGTTTCTGGTACTACCCTTGTTAGGGGAGCTCCTAAGATGATTTACTGTGATTCTGTTTCTCCCTTATGCCCTGCTGTCAGAAGACATTGTTAAGGTATCCTAATTTTTGCCCACTAGTTTTTATCCCAGTCAGGATGGAAAATGGTGGCAGAACAGCTGACCTAAGAAAACTGGTTACTTTTAAGAATACAGTTAGTGTCAAGTGCAATATACCATGTTTAGAGTGGAGTAATGGTGAAATCTTGAGGTTTAAATCATGAGTGCTGAGATCAAACTGTTCTAAAACTTTTGGTCTAAAACACGGTAAGTTGTATAGTTGCCTTTGATAAAAAAAAAATTCAGCTTCTCACTTTGCTTGTGAATCAGGAACATTTATCTCTGAGATGAAAATTGATGCAAGTTTCAATAAGTAAAATAATTTGTGTGAGATGGGTTACTTTAGGAAAGATTCCTTTAAAATAGCTCTTTGTGAGTTGGCATTTAATTGTTGGTTATAGTTGATTGTTATTGGCTTTGTGGCTTGATAGAAATATATTTATAACTGCTGTTTATCACATACCCATACCATATCCTATTGAAGTGGGGGGAAACGTACATGCTAATTAATAAATTCAAGTTCT